ATGCTTTCGTACTTGACAATGACCAGTCAGAACGCCTGTGACTAGGCGTAGAGCGCGTGTCTAGTCATAGTCAAGTATTTGTTTGCTGCAGTGTTATCAGGATAACTTAAGAGCTTCCTGGCAACTTTGCAGCTCCTTGTTTCATCCCATCTTTCCTTGAATTTCACAAGGGAATGTTCTTTGATTAGGTCTGTCACTACCGATTTTGTCAGGCCAATAGAAGGGCCAGGTCCAAAAAGTATTTGGTTGGCTGCTTTCTTGGCAAGTGAATCAGCAAGACGGTTATCTTTCGATGTGGCGTGACCTTTAATCCATCTTAAGGTGACCACATTGTTGATAGATACTTCGGCCAAAGCTTCGTGACATTCTAGTCCTAACCCTGAGTAAATTCGTGGTCTGTTCAGGGTGATGAGTAGTGCTTGTCTGCTATCTGTATAGATAAGCATGTTCCTTCCAGTGATATTGTTTCTGGTTTTCTTTTGTTCCTATGAGAATCCCCGTTAGCTCTGTTTGAACTACACTGGCACTATTGCTCACAGCCCATTTTATGTTTAGGTTTAAGAATCTGGAGAATATTCCACATCGAGCCTTGTTTTGTTTTAGAACTGTCGGTGTAGATATGAATCGTACCTGCCACTTCCGGCTCTTCTATTTGTTCTATTATAACTTTATATGGCTTATGAAAGATATATTTCGGTGAGGTGGAGTCCAGGTTCGCTTGAAGCAGTGGGAGCGTAACGAGCGCCTCCTGCCAAAAGTGACGTCTCACCTCACCAGATCCTACATCAGGTTCTATTCCGACCGTGCGGAGGCGTGTCATTGTCGTCAGAGCAACCTCCTTGATGTAAATATCAAGGGGAGTGAGACTAAGAATGACTTCCATGGCTTTAGTCGGTATTGTTTTCATGGCTCCTGTTATGTTGAGACATGCTGTTCTTTGAATTTATTCTAGTTTACGGATAGCTGTTATTTTTAGGGTTTTCGGTACCCTGACAACTGCACCGTATGTTAGCATAGGTCTTATGATAGCCGTGTAAGTCCATGCGACGACTCTAGGGGAGAAACCCCAGGTGCGCCCCACGGTTCGGCGGCATTGTTCATAAGCAATGTATGTTCTTTTAATTATGTTTTCTAAATGCGAGTTCCATGTTAACTTGCTGTCAAAGGTGAGACCTAGGTACTTCACCTCTGTTGCAAAGTTTAGTTTTGTGTTTAGGAGTTCTGGAGGTTTTAATTTCATTTTCATCCTTTTCCTTGTGAGAAGGACCATTTCTGTCTTCTTAGGATTGATAGACAGTGAATGGTCCTTGCACCACTGTTTTATAATTTTTAGAGCTACTTGAATTCTTTTGCAGAGTATGTTCTCAAAATTCCCTGTTTACAGAATGACCAGATCATCTACATATGCTATTGTGTAGTGACTGTCATTATTCAGGCGGCTGAGGAGGGTGTCGAGGACCATATTCCACAGTAGAGGTGATAGCACCCCCCTCCCTGTGGACATCCCCTCACAATCAAGCCTCTTATATTCATCTTCTACACTTATGTTTACTGCTCGCTTTGAGAGCATGTTATATATCCGTCCACTAACCATCTGTGGAACATTCCTGTTGATTAGTGAGTATATTATCTTGAGAAAGGTGGTTTTATCAAAACCACCTTCTATGCCTATGAAAACACCCAAGGCGGACTCCTTATTGTCCAGGGATCTCCCTATCCGGCCAGCAACTAGATGATATTTTTTTTATTCAATATAAAGTAGTTGTTGAAAATCCTTCAACATAATAAATTTATATCAGAACACATAACAAAAATATTTGAATTCAAACATAAAAATCTTAAAGTCAACACTGGCACATATAAATTTTAAAAGCCCACTCTAGCATGTATAGAATTTCTCGAAGACATTACGTAATCCGCGTCACGGGACAAGTGGCCAATAGAAAGCTATCATGTGGATGAGTTTTTAACCGACATTTTTCAGATGCTTCTTCTCATTCAAACGAACCACTTCGTTTCCTTTTACCTGCTTTTTCTAAAATAGGCATTAGGTCGCCATGTCAATTTTTTGTTATACAAATTTTAAAAAGAAACACTGGCAAGCATATGATTATTTTTCGTAAGACAGTGCTTTACTAAGATTTTAAATATGGTTTAGTGTTGTAGTGTAAAATTTAGTATGAAGTTCCAAGATTAAATTAAAGTTAATTAAATGTTGCCGGCATTTTATTTTACATCAACAAAAGAAAACCAGTCAAAGGAATATGTTAAAAAGTGTATGGGGAAAGCACCTACCCCCAACAGTAGTAATGACTGGTATATCCGAAATTACAAGATTTTAATTTATAGTCTTTGGATTTAACAATAAAAGCATCTATGTAATTTGTAATGCAGATATGTCATTTGGTTTGTCTAAAATTTAAATGCGCTATATTAGCGTGATGTAATTTGTGTTCCACAAACTCACTGACAGTTTCACTTTTAACAATACGATATAGTTCAGTGATGATGTAATTATGGTTCCACTGACAAAGTGACAGTAGATTTTTTGAGTGCGTTTTGTTCTTTTTGATTAACTAAATTATATCGTTGTTTCACTTTTATAAATATATTCCTAAAGTAAGAGGATAACATGCATCAAATATACAATCGTTTAGTTACCAATTACATACCTTTAAACTATTTTTTATGACATGTAAACAACATTTAGAAATAAAACTAAAAACAATAAAAACGAGCCGCTTTGAGCAATCTATATAACTATATATGTATCATTGACCCTGTCAATGACACCAGGCTCACAGGGTTGCCATATCTAAATGTCAGTTCCCGCTTGTCAGCAGTTTGACAAGTCGTTGGAATGCCTAATAACAAACCATTTTGTCATTGAATTTGACATATTATACGCTTTTATGTTCTGCTAAATATTGTTTACAGAACGTAAAAAAATGGTTTAAAGGTATGCAACCAAAATATTTTTAATTTTGAAAAAGTTTTTGTCTAGTAATAAGTAATACTCTATATTTATTTAAGGATTTTTTTATGAAAACGATTTATTATATTGATTTTTTTTTAATTTCTGTTCATTTATGTTTTAAAATCAGTTCATCATTTGGCAACATTGGTGTTCGTGTTCACTGTTTATATTTTAATTTGTATCAATTATAATTCGAAGTTTTTCTTGCTTGTGAGATTCAAATTTGTTTATTTCTTATAGTGTGTTTATAATAAAAATTAAATTTGCGAAAAAGCCACCAACAAATTGCAATCTATATGGTGTTAATGTCAAAATCAAAACTGAATTGTTCATTATTTTGCAAGCATAAGTTGTAAAATTTTGTTTCTTATGATAAATGAATATCTACAAATTCACATTATTAAGATTTTTCAAAATTTTGTCTAGAATCAAATTGCAATATCTGCATTGTGAGTTTTATTACCGTTTACATGTATACAAAGTACTACAACATTCACTTTATAATATAAGAATAAGGATAGTAAGATTTTTTAATTATTTTATCAATAATAAATGTTAGGTACCTGAATTTCCTTTAAACCACATAACAAAACATGCTCTGCGTTTAATAAATATGTTTGTGTAGCAACCAGATAAGTGAAGATTTCCTTTAAATTAGTCATAATGCATGACAAATATTATATTTATGACGAAAGCACGGAAACTAAACTTAAATTAACACTAAATGAAAGTCGAAAACACTATTATAATGAGAATATTATCTAAAAACAGTTAAAAAAATCACAAATACAAAATCCCGCTCAAGACAAACGCAATGTAAATAAACAAACATCCTAATTATAGGTGACAAATGACAAGCACGCGAATAATTAATTTGAATAGCGAATATAGAACAATATCTGTGGTTTCACCTTGTTGACAGGCATGTCCATCCATATAGTCTGATTTCACTATGTTGGAGTGAATAAAATAAGCTCCATGAGAAATGCATTGGATTTTAAAAAGTAATCCATCGGTGCTTTCGTTCTAGAATTATCGTGTCGGCAAACATACACATATAATGATTGAGAAAAGTGTTAAAAAGAGGGGATAAGAAATGCAATACTGAGACCTCATACATACATCACTGATAATTATTCCTTCATTCTTCCATATTTAAGTAAGTGAGTTTGCGTAAAATAACACAAAACATGTTCAATACCAACGCTCTCTCTACTTGTCATATTTTCCTGTGTCAGTCTGTCAATGTCATATGTCTATGGAGTCAAATGTCAAAATTAGGTACGCTTGTCACCTGTACCGCTAAAGATGATGTATAATTTATCCATTTTAGTATAATTTATCAATAATAGTATATCTTTTATAAAGTTAATTGGGGTTCGGTGCCTTCATCGTTCCTAAATGTTTTTGTTGTTAACAACTCGATGTATAGTCTAATTGAATCAATGTGGAAGGTATCTTAGACATAAGTTTTGTCATGTGTTAATATTTAAAATTTTTAATTTGTAACGCCTTTTGGGACGTTTTTGATGACGGCTTTCTAAAGTCGAAAGCGCTCAGCCTAATTATTAATAAAAATTTTCATTTTTTTACACACTTATGTACTTATTCCATTCACATTTCACTAGGAGTGTGTACATCACTCCCAATCAACTTATTTCTAATAATGTGGTTAACTTTTTTGCTTCCTTATATAAAACTGGGAGATGAACAAATTACCATCGAGTAAAAGCGGATAAAAACGGAAGATATTTTGACAGTGGTTTGCCAGAACTTTTTAAGCGCATACAGCGATTGAAATGGATGGGACATGTGGAAAGAATAGAAGGCAAGAGTTTACATTGAAGTTAGGCAGACAGAGATAAAAGATGATACAACAAAAAAATACATTTTGAAATGAAAATAAAAGGATAGAAAATAATTGTAGACTGTTGACATTGCATTTTCTAGTCTTTTGGCATTTGTTTGACAGAACTTTACCGTTTCTTTATTTAACTAACATATCAATTCATAAGTGTATTACCTTTTTCTTTTATATCTTTAGTCTTCTTTTCCTTCTTCTCTTTCTTAACCTCTTTCACTTTCTCCACATGTTCATCATCAAAACCTAACAAATTCCCTTCTTTAGTTTCCTTTATCACCTTATTCTCTTTATGTCTATCGCTTTTCTTTTTACTAGATTTTTCCTTGACTATTTTATTACTTGTGGTATTCTCGTTTAGATGTTTGAGTTTACTGCCTTTATAAGGTTTTTCTTTTTCTGACGATTTCTTCTTGTGTTTCTTGTCTCTTTTGGGCCTCAGCGCATTCTCAATTGTTTCCGGTTTGGCTGAATAGTCATATGCTGGTCTGAAATAAAAAATCTTAAATAAATAAGAAGCACTATTTGTAACAGGATAATAGAGATAACTCAAACAGTCAATTTAAAGTGACAAGAGTGTATGACGCCCAAAAACGAATGACAACAACTTTAACAATAAATTCTATAATTTAAAAATGGGTCAATTTTCTATTTTTGCCGGTCATTATTCCACGCTTGTTTGTTTCTAAAAAAGTTCTACAGTACAGTGGTAAAAGAATCTTTAACGAAAAACAACTACTAGACCAATTTTGTTTACAAAAAGCGAATTGCAAGCAGTAGATAGAGAGAGAGAGAGAGAGAGAATATATGTCTATTGTCCAAGTTAAAATATTTATTGACAAACACAATATTGTTATACAAAGCACAAATAAATAAATAGTCATTAAAATATAAAAAAAACATTACCATAAATTAACATTAATACATACATCTAAAATAAAATAGAACAAAACAAAATAAAACACATATCACAGTGTCTCGTCATTATAAAATTCTGTAATATCATAATAAGGCCTAGTTAACAGAAATCTCCTAAGCAACTTTCTAAAACAATTCTGTGACTCAACATCTGTCAAAGTATGTGATAGCCTGTTGTACATCTTGATACTATTATATATAAAAGAGTCTCTTATAAGTTCAGTTTTGGGAATAGGCAACTTCAAGTTACCCGTTTGGCGAGTTACATGGGATATATTCGATTTATTTTATTTCGACTTGTTCATATGGATCATGCAACAAGTTTCTAAGATAAATAAAGAAGTTAATGTTAATATTTCTTGTTTTAAGAACAGCGGTCTACATGAAACTAATCTATGGGCTCCACATAAAAACCTTATTGCCCGTTTCTGCAATATAAAGCCTCTACCAAATAACTCGGCAGAACATACTCCCCAAAACTGAACAGCATAACGTAAATGGGAGTCAGCTAACGCATAATATGCAGTTTTTGCTGCACAAACTTCTAATGGCATAACAACCCGATACGAGTTTTTTTAAAAGTCGATCCACATGAGAATTGAATTTCAAATCCGTGTCGATATTTAAACCCAAAAATTTTGTAGAGTTTGTGGCTTCTACAGTATCCATATCTATTAAAATATCAGAAATATTACATTTAGGGCCGTTACTTTCTGTCTCTATTTAAACACATGATTAAGAAATCGGACGCTAAATTTAATCAAGCTAGTTAACCATGATTAAATCATATTGAGTACTTTCTGACCTAATTTATAATCGATTACGAAATCATTGTTTAACGTGGGTTGGCAGCAATGAAATTTGACAGATTGTCATTATTTGTGATAGGTATGTCAAAATAAAATAAATAGAAGACAGTTTAAATTAAAGCTGCGAATAGTTTATAAAAATTAAAATTATTCTAAAAAACTTAAATATGGACGTGTCGAAATCCAATATTAGGACGAAAAGGGGAAGTAATTTTTCTAAAATTGAAATTCGTTCATTAATGATGAACATTTTTCAAGAAATTCATACAATAGAAAATAAAAAAACTGATTGTGTAATGTTAAAAGAAAAACAACAAGCATGGAAAAGAATTGAAACCACGTTTAATTCTTCCAACACCTCAAATAGAGATCTACATTCTCTTAAGATGAAATATGAAAATATAAAGAGAGACCTAAAGAAAAAAATGTCTGCACTCCGTTTGAGTAAATTAAAAACTGGAGGTGGACCTCCTGAAGATATCCCTTTACTGTGGTATGAGGAGAAATTGTATTCGATATTACAATTAAATGTGGACGGATTAGAATCCATGGGAGATTCTGACGATATCTCAAATAATATCGTGCAAGATTCTGATGATGTAGAAATACCAACGATTGCAAGCGATGATGCATCACAAGCCAGCAGTAAGATTTCAACAAATGAAGGAGCGGTCATTACAAATGACAATAAGGTAGGGATTGCAATGATCGTTTCTTTAAAGTAGTAACATTTTCAATATTAATAATTAGTATTTTAGATTTTCATACATATCTAATTATTTTAGGGTTCCAATAAGATTGAGGTCCCTGTTACGATATCCACACCCCACGCTCGCAGTACTGCCAAAAAATGGAACTTAAAGAAAAGGAAAAGGGTAACTGTGGCAGAAGAGGATAGGAAAGAGAATCTTGAAAATTTTGACAAACTAGCAAAGTCAAAGACCGATTTAACTGAAATACAAAAAAAATGTTATGAAGTAGAATTGAAAATTAAAGAAGAGGAACTGGAAAGAAAAAGAAATGATTCAAGTTTAAAAAGTCAAATTTTAGAAGTAGAGTTAAATACAAAAAATGAACAATATAACGAAGTTCTTAGAGAAAATTTGAGAAAGGCACAAATGTTCAACCATTTAGAAGAAGAACAAAAGGTTAAATTGGACATTTTAAAATGTGAACTAAATGCAAAACTAAAATAAATTGTGGTAGAAACTAATAATTAAGTTTATTGACTTTTTCGTATGTTTGTTATCAGTGATAGTTTTTTTTGTATTTGTAGTTGTAGTTGTTTATAATAATATATTATTGCTTTCCAAAATAACGTTTTATTAAACATCAAAGATAAAAGGAAAACAATAACTATAATAATGTTTCAAAATAATCAATTAATTCTTGTTGAACTGCATTTTCTAACAGAATATTTTCATCTTGTTGAGGAAACTCATTTGCCTCAGGGACATTTATCTCTTCTTCATCATCAATGCTGTCCCTATTCAATACAGCTATATTGTGTATTATAGCTGTTGCTATTATTATTTGTTGAGCTAGTGGTAACGCACATCTCATTTCACATGAAAGAATTGGAAATCTCCGTTTTAAAATACCAAAAGTCCTTTCAATTACACATCTAGTTGATATATGTGCTTCATTATATAATTGCTGAGCAGCTGTAATTGGATCTGCAACAGGCGTCATCAGATATTTTTTTAACGAATAACCACTATCTCCTACTAATAAGAAATGGCCAAACTCTCCACTTTCAAAGCGAGCTCGTAATAATGAATTACTAAAGATATGACTATCGTGACAAGAACCAGGCCATCTAGAAACTATATCCATAATATAATTAGAGCAATCACATACAACCTGTACGTTTATAGAAAACCATCCCTTTCGATTCCTATACACTTCCGCATTATCTCCACCTAAAAAATTATTTAAGTATGCATCAAAATAATAGTCTGTATAATTCAATATGTGATTGTATTGAAATGTAGAAAATGACAGACCTGGAGATTGAATAGGAACATGTGTACAGTCGAGCGCCCCTATAACTTTAGGAAAAAGGGCTGTTTGAAAAAACCTCACTTGCACGTTTTTCTTTTCTTCTGCACTACCAGGAAATTTTATATATTTTGGACGTAATAACACTATCGCATTTGTGACCCTTTTTATAATACGTCCAGCAGTACTTTTATGTAATCCACCAAAATCACCAATAGAAATGTAAAAGTTTCCTGTTGCATAAAATCGCAATGTAATGAGTAGTTGTGTTATAATATCTACTTCATGATATCTAAAATCATTAAATGTATGAGTACTGTTGTAATCTTGTAAATATACAAACTTACTGTTTCTTAGTATGTTCTAAATAAGTTTCAATTTCCATCGATAGCATTTTTGCAGTTTTTTTTGTAATTCGAAACCTCCTGTAAAAATTTTTATCATCTAGTTCAACCAAAAAATTTACTCGGGGAAGTATATTATAAGTCCTCATACTATTTATAAAATTCACTATTTCTTCATCATTATCATTAAATAAATCATTTAGCTCATCAAGCTCCATTTTTAAACTTATTTTGTATCAGTTACTACAAATTCATTTATAAAACATCAATGTCAGATAAAAATTGAGGTTACAAATGCTTGATTATAACCATAACCACTGTCATACGAGTAGTTATATTTAATAGATTGCATTACTATTTTAAACAGTGTTTAACTTCTAACCGATGATGAAAGTATCCATTACTGGCAGTTAAATTTAATCAATTGTTATATATAGTTAATCAAGACTGAAAGTAACGGCCCTCAAAGGTTAATATTTTTGTTTTTTTTAAATTTAATGACAGAAAATTTACAGTGCACCATGTTTTAAAGGATTTGAGGTCATTACTAATATTTGCATAAAGAATATTGACGTCTTTATTATGCCACAAGATGTAGTATCGTCAGCAAATAGAGTGAAACTTCCTGAGATATTTAACTTACCTAAGTCATTTATATAAATTAAAAATAGGGTGGGCCCAAAAACAGAATCTTGAGGGACACCCCATTTTGTCACTTGTTTTCGAGTCTGAAACAGTTCGGACTATTTGCGACCTAAAAGGCAGCATTTCATCCAACTCAAGGCTCTTATGCCATAAACTTCAAGCTTTCACAGCAGTACTCCGTGGTTGATAGTCAAAAGCTTTAGTCAGATCACAAAATACTGCAGCTACGGCCTCGCTGAAATTTATACTTGTATAGGCTAATTCCAAACAAGAAGAAACATCATCCGATACGTTTTTGTTGTGTTGAAAACCGAATTGATTTATATCCAGTATATTATTTTGAATTAAATATCTAACTAGTCGAGTTTTTACAAGTTTCTCAATAATTTTTCCCAAATTGTTTAAAAAACTGAAACATTTGAATTTGGTGGTCTATAGATACATTGCTATCCAACATAGTTGTCAAATTGTTATAGGAGAAAAATTGATTGTGGTTATAATTCGGAATTTACTCAACAAAAAGCTCTAAAACGCTGAAATGGCTTTCAAAATTACATTAAGGAAGTATATTTGCATTATTAATGCAACTGTCATCCCAACTCAATTTAGTGGGTCTCTCTCTCTCTCTCTCTCTCTCTCTCTCTCTCTTTCTAATGCGGCAGCTCTATCTGTCTAACATAAAACATGACTTGAATACTTGCAAGTAAACAAATGCCTATTTATGAATGAAAGGATTAGTCTATAGTTTTGCGACGTTGGACGGGTCTCTTTTGTTAGGGCACCAATAAATTTTTTATATATTTGTTCTTTTAAAAGAAATGAACACAGACTCATTGATTCATGTCTGAGATTTAGAGTAGTTCTTATGTCTCGTTTTGTGAGCTTAGACGTTAAATTGTTCTGTAATCATGGTGGCACCCTTCCCTTCAATGAAAGGTAAGTTATTGAGTAGTTCCCAACTCGAGATTAAAATTGCAGGAGTCTCAGGGTCGATGACCTGAGGTAACCTGCAAGGTGACTGTGTATCAACACACATCCTTCGACCCTTGTCAAAACATTCTTAAGGTTTTTCAAATCATATACATTTATAAATGGAAAAAAATCCGTTGGTGTTAAATCAGGTCAACCATTAACGATTTCCGAAAAACGGCCTGATTTTAAAAACTAGGAAACTGTTTAAGAAAGACAAGCATATTGTTTAAGGAAAATTGTCATGGTATTTAATAATTGGTTGGATATATTTATTCGTCTCACTTCATACCGTGTTAGTTTATAATACACAAAAATGATAGATGTTTTAGTTTTAATTTGTACCGTCTCCCCCAAAATAATTATTGACAGACTCATTTCGTACCGCCACCCCTACATTATCTTGGTTAAATTATAAGTTACTTAAATAGTGTAATGGCTTTACCCTGGAAGTATCAAACCATTTTAATATTTTAAAGTTTTAAGACTGTTGGAATGGTCTGACCGTCACAAAATGGCGCCCAACGCGGAGCACAAACTTGATAGCATGGATAGAGGTGACCGAAGTCAAAAAGAATTGGTAGGATAATTTTTCTTTTGTGTTATTGTGGTGTGTTTGATACGAAATTGGAGTAATTTTAATTTTGAAGATGTCCCCAGGGAATTTATAGATCTGTTTCAACGACGATCAGAAACCAGTCACAAACACCAAGATTTTCAGTAGATTATTGGGACCGCTAAATTATCTACAGCGCAGAATCCTGGAGTCAGTGACTGGTTTCTGATCATTGTTGGAACAGAATTTATAAGAAAGATGTAAAAAAATTGTAGAAGTTGAATACAGTTGAGAAAAATACAAAAAGGTTACAAAAAGAATTTTATTTTAAAAGAAAATTATAAAAAGGGAAAGCAGGAGTCAGAGGAGGAGGCAGATCAGTGAAAGACGCAGAACAGTAATTAGAAACGAAGACACAGCAGGAGGCAAAAGAGAGCAGGACTTGCAGGAATTGTAACCGGAGCCACAGACCAGAAGACTTTTAGTTATTAAGATCATATAATACAGAAAGATTTAGAAATTTGTTTTGTTTTTTAATTTTGTAGGAAGCCACGACCTAGTTTTTTTGTGGAAATTGGAATGATTTGATTCTCACTGTCCACGTTGGGCGCCAATTTGTACAGTTCCATCTCGAAAGAGTCAAACAATTCCAATATTCTAAAGCCTTTAGGATATTTGAATGATTTGGCTCTTCTGAGGTAGAACCATTACAGTAGATTATCCACGCTGCATCTACTCGAAATGTATAATTAGAAGGAACAATTATAAATAGCAGAACATATCTTTTGGGTTTACCCAAAATTAATCTTGTATTTGAGAACATATCTTCAATTTATATGAAACGACTGAAATAAACATTCTATACATGATTTTTTTTTGTTAACAGACTTATTTACATTCGACGCTGACAAAACGAAGAAAAGTTTACAAGAATCTTGATGTGGAGTACAGGAAACTGTCAGTGTTATTTTGTAGACGAAAGATAATCTGTTGGATCATGTTTGGAAAAATTCCAGTAAAATTCGAATACATTTCAGTATTTCTGTCTATATGTAAATACATTAATAATGTGGTACGAAATGAGACTAACCATTGATATAAATTTAGGGGTTGCTGTACGAAATGAGAGTACAAAGTTGGCATAAGTCGTTATACTTACAGATTTAAATCAATGTCTAACGCTTTGTGTGGGTCATCTTTTTGGGAAGGGTCGCTGTCTCCATCGGAAAGGGTGGCTCCTTCAGGAAGTTCCATGTCTCTTTTAATTTCTATCACAGGTCCAGGGTGTAATTCCTCATCGGAAGAACTGGAATAAAATTAAATTCGAAAGTAATAAAGTTATCTATCTAAAATGTGTCAAAAATCGCGACATCTAGATATTTCTTATAATCTAATAGCCGACCGCAAAAAATCGAAGAAACGGATTATTTTAGGCTAAACTGAAAAAAAAATGTATGCAAGTAAGAGTCCTTAATAACAAAATATTATTTAAAATGCAGTCACACCAAATGTAACCAATTAACATCAGAAGAATCTTGAAGCCAACCTTGCAGGTGAGAACGGTTTAATCACCAAAAGTCGCGCCACATAACATAAAACAAAATAATTGGTCCGATCCTAGACAAGGCATGACTTAACAAATTATATCACAGATTTCAGTGAAAGAAGCTTTGAAAAATCATTTAAAATAATCATTCATTTATATAGGTGCAAAGGATACTTCTATGTTGACGCAATTGGTATTAAATGAAAGTGTCAGCTTCTTCTTAAACAATAACTAAGGTTACCTTGGTTTGCACTCATTTCCAAAATATAGCACTTTAGTTTGTTAATATTTTAATGTCTGCACGAAACCACAGCAAATCATGGTTGATCTGGTGTTTACCGATAAATAACCTATCATTCTATTTCCTAAAATAATTCGCCCTTTCGATTTTTTGCAGCTGACTCTCAGTCTATTACCTATCTGATTTATATTTCTTCTTTTTACTCCTCTTTTTCTTAGACGACTTGGCATTCAAATTAAGGTACTTGTCAGATCGTTTTTGGCTCAAAACTTTAAGCGGTACGTTGAGATTCAGTTCGGCGACGGGAATGTTTTCGTAGGTGTCGCTGGCTCCGTTACCGTTAGGTTGCTCGAACGAGATGTTGCTCTTCAAATAGTGCGGATTGTTTTGTTGTTCACATTTTCTAGCTTCGCGACTCTAAAAATGCATTTATCGATTATTAGGACCTATAGAAGACATTTAACGAACATTAGAGTATAGAGGAATAAGAAAAATACGAAATCTTTGGTTGTTGGATACTTATTAAAAAATAGTACCTTTTTGATATCTTCTTCTGTAGGTTCGTGGTAGTAAATCGTCTTGGTTTTTTCTGATTTTACAAAAAGATTTTCCATCATTTCGGGCTCACTATCCGAATCGGTATCGTAGATGGGCTCATTGATCCATGCATCCAAGTCCAGACTTAAAAAGAAAAACAAATAGCTATAATAAAAATGTACCTAATTGAAATATATAATTCATAATCTTGTCATACGGATGGAAAAACATAGGTAACATAAAAGATAATATAAAGGCCAATAAATCACAACTAGATTGTTTATCAATAACCTAATCCTGCGCCCCTTCGTTTAACTTACTTCGTTTCCTCATTTGATATTTAAAGAAACAAAGTACTATTTGAAAATACATCATATAAGGAACACATAGCTTGACAATTTTTTGCTTTATTCTATTACCAAGTTGCCGGCTTTAAACAGATGAATTCTCTTAATATTTAAATGAATCATAGCTAAAGGTAAAAGAATTGTCTTCACGATGGTATATTCATATACAAACCGCATTACTGCTACTCGAGTAGACTTCAAGTAAAGTTAGGTTGAGCAGTTCAACGCAGTTTGTAGAACTACTAAACTACTATATGCGACAGCATGTATGTACTATAGAAATGCAATGAAGTGATGGAAATTGAAGAGTTGACAACAAGGAAGCACTATTGCTTGTACTTTTGCTGCATATAAAAAACACGTAGAAAGTCCGAAAGGGCATGGGTTCGGATTCCACCGCTGTCACCAATGTGTATGTTGGTTTTGGGTAAACTCAAACTTTTACAATACAACTTTTAGTCTTAGAGCCAATGTGCAGATTTGTGACATATTTTCTTATGGCTGAATTTATTATTTTATTTTTTATTTATTTATTTATTATCCAACCAACGGTACAAACCTATTACAGGTGGAATACAAATCAAAAATAAAATACAATGTCATACATATATACATAAAATACATGAAAACGTAAATATTAAATTTACAAAAAAAAACGAATTCGGACAATAATACAACTAAGTAAAACTAGAATTAGACACATTAAATATAAAAATTGAAGTAAAATAAGACGTACTCGTACAAGATAAAACTAGGTATTACCGAAACCTAAACAAATTCTCTACAATTAAAAATATCAATGTTTTGAGAGTGAGCATTAAAATTGGTTTGCATTTGATAAAGTGGCGTTTGTAATAAAATGTTTGTTCGCGGTATGGGCAATGAAAAAGTTTGGTGATCTCTCGAGGTAATACGAGGAACCCGTAAACGTATTTGCGACAAAAGTTCGGCACAATTAATTTTGTAGTTCATTAGTTTAAACAAAAATAATATAGAATGCATTACTCGACGATCTTGAAGATTTACACAATTAAAGTTATTAAATTGTACTATGATACGTATTCAACGAATTTACGGAAGCGCGACGTTTAGACTGAGGCGCTTAGATAGCTATAATAGGCATTACAAGTAGCACGTGCCTCCCAAAAACTTGACTTATTTTCTTAACATTTTCGTTATGCCCATTCGACGATAAATGTCCACCTACAAGAAATATTAAACCCTTCCTCCACCAATTTCGGTGGACAATTTTTTCTCTCCAATATAGAAAAATTTTGTTTGTTATCTCATTTCATGTATAATTTTTAGGTTAGGCAAATTAGCTTACTTTTAAATTTTAATTAGAATACAAAAGTATTTCATATTCAATCAATTGTTCGTTCGACAAAAAGATATTGGGTGCAAGTGTTTTTTCGTGCAAATGTACTTTCGTCCAGATGTTTTTTCGAGCCAATGTTATTTAGAGCAAATGCATTTTCGAACAAATGTTTTCGATCAATTATTTTCGAGAAAATGTTTTTCGAGCAATATTCCGTAATTCATTTCACAGCGATTCAATTTAACAGCGCCATGCCCATTTTTTGGTCCTGATTAAGCTTAAACAATAGTGAAAGTACTCAAAATGACGCTGTTACATGTAATCAACTGTTAAATTTAGTTAATCATGGTTAAATTCGTCTGAAAGTACCGGCCCTAAATATGTCATTTTTATCAGGGCAATTTAATGATGTCCTAAAACATGCTAAGGTGATACCTATATTTAAAGGTGAAGATAAAATTATTTCTGATAACCATAGGCCTATATCTCTGCAGCCTACTTGGGCAAAAATTATTTAAATTTAGACAATTTGGTTTTCCATCCAATAAAAATATTTCGGACGCCATATTTTCTTTTCTAGTGAAAGCATATTTGGAGCTAAATGAAACGTCAGTTGCTGCAGCGATATTCTGAGATTTATCTAAAGCGTTTGATTGTGTAAATTGGAAAAATATTGGGTCAGGGGTATGGCTTTGGAATGGTTGAAATCTTATTTGTAAAACATATGTATATGTATAGTAGTTAAGAATTATACCGCAAATTGTCGTCTTGTTGACAGTGGTGTATCTCGATGCTCTGTTCTGGGACAGCTACTTTTTTATTGTACATTAATATCTTACTCAATATTAATAGATTATTTACTATTTTTGCTGATAATATGACCATAAATGAAGACACTTTAGCTAACAAATAACAAGTACTGATATTATTTTAATAAAACAACTTTAATATGTCTAAAACTAGTTTGTTAACTTTCAAATGTAATAAATATATCATATGTTGATTTTGGATTGGATTGGATACTATGTAATAAGAACAGTTTCTAAGAGTCTAAACTTTGATAACATTGAATAAGTTTCATGTACATACATTCTCCATTCAACTGTATTTGATCTATGGGCCGGGTCTGAACAGCAAAATGGCTACAGCTGTCATTGTTGATTGCATGTTGACGTGTGACTATTTTACTAGATAAGAAACGGTGGATTGCCAAAATGTTTAGTACAGCAACCGCACTTTGCGATCCATCTATTTCTATCCTTATGGTTGCAGAGATTTAAAAAATCGGTATTTGATACATTATGATAGATAAGCAGCGCAAGCGCTAAACCATGCGACAGACAAGGACGCAGTGACAAGTGTGTATGCACTACGAAAACCACATTATGTGTTAAACGTAAAGATATAAATGAGAGTAAAAACAGCTAAAAAAAATTGGAATTGCCAAACTCAACTTGGATAGGTCTGAAGTAGAAATATTGGTTATCTTGTTGTATAAGTGTACAAGAGAGTGTAATGATAATAAAAACAATGAGAGTACCTACCCATCTGGGACAGGAACTTTCCTCTGCGCTTTGGGTGCTACAGGGTTCAACTCCCCGTTGAATAAACTTTCCAATTCGTCGGCAATCAATGGTATATTTTCTGATTTCAAATTCATTTCATTATTACTATCATCTTCCAAAATCTTGTTATTGTCTGTAGAATTTTCTAAAAAATATAAATATTTTTTTTATAAGTAAATACATTTACTATGCATTGTCATCTTATGAGCATGGTGGCCTCAAATACGAAGAATTGAAACCCAAATAGGTGGTTACAAGAATGGTCATTGAAATTTATGAGCCTGGTAAATTTAGACTGTAACTTCAAACTATCCACAGTCTAAACATCAGTCAAAGTTTATCAGGCTTATAATTTTAAGGATTCGAGTTTTATCAAAAAAGATTGCTACTCAGACTTATGGTGAGAATGGTTAAGGTGATTACAGCACCACTTATAATTTTCGGACAAGTGTATCTCAAAATTTAATTTTTTCAAAATCAAAATTTTTGGAAAATAAATTGGACAATAATATCTAGAATATGCATATATTTTAAAGATTTAATTCCTTCCAGTTTTCAAAAAAAAAATCAAACTGCTTTAAATTTTGAAAATAAATGCGGTAGGAGTTTTTATGATTTCTTTCAGTAAGGGTCTATTTATACTCCCTTATTATTAGTATTTGCATTAGTATTATGATTAAGCATTAAGTTGAACCTTCACAATGTAATGGGGACATTTATACTCGATTTATGATTAGTATTAGCATTAATATTTATGCTTAATAATTGACAGGTTCAACTTTTAAATTAAATATTAAATTTCTTCTTTTCTATAAATAATCAATGGCGTATTTGGCCTTTGTTTTTAATAGACAACGGATAAGGATAATTGACAATACACATATGATTATGTTGTTTATATGTTTGTTCCAACAAGCTCGAAAACGATAATATTTCGGTACAAATCATGCTCTGTATACAATTTTTGTGTATCAGCAGTGTTCACCGATTATAAAGTTAACAAATGACATGTCACCACGAGGAAGCAAAGGCCTCTTTTCTGTCTGATTTGTATCAAATTTCTGCTTCTTTTTATTTGTTATAAATTTGAGACTTAAATCCGTTAAAATGTCCTTAATTAAACCTATTTTTGAATAATAATATTTTTAAATAAAACTAACTAGTAAAAATATTAATAGAAACACATTTAAAACTCAAATATCTTAAAAGAACACAACCGGCCTCTTACACATTTCTTCAGTAACCATATATTTTGTTGACTGCAGAATTATATCTTATTAGGTATTAGGTTTAAAAAAGAATTACTAATACTAATTATAAAACGAGTATAAATACCTTTTTTGAATGATTTAACAAATTTAATGCTTAATCATAATACTAATACAAATACTAATACTAAGGGAGTATAAATAGACCCTTAAATTATTGATTTTGGTATGGAAAAAAAGTAAGACGGATTAGAGAATTAGAAGTTATGCAAGGTTTATATGTGTTTTGGATGTATCTAGAGTTTGAGGAAGATATATTTTCGAGTGAATAATAAGGTGCATGTTGAATGAACAGTAAAAATTAACTTAAAAAGAGGAAGAATACAATAGAGGATTAAAATAACATAAGTTAAAGTGAATAGGTAGATGGACCTGTGAGGGGGAAAGAATGTTGGTTTGGTGGAGGAACGATGTGAAAAACTGGAAGAGATTGAACAGAGAGATATTGAAGAGCAGAATTAAGAAGAAACAGTAAAAAAAGAAAAACAACAGGAGGAAACAATAATGAAAGAAATAGAAAAGGAGAGAAAGAAATAGAGAGATTCAATAAGTATGCTGTTACTAGAAGTGAAAAAAGATATACAATAAGATAAAGGTCTTATTAAAAAAAATGGATGAAAATGGGAAACAAGATAAAGAAGAAAGTGGACGAAAGTAGTAAAAAAATGGATAAATTAGAAGAAATGGGAAAGAAAAATAAAAAAAAAATAATTCAGAAAATATAAATAATTATGAAATATATAGGGAAGAAACAAAGAAAATAAAACAAAAAAGATTAAAATTAGAAGGTAAAATTAGTGAAAAAATAGAAGAGTTTAAAAGTAAATAAAGAAAAAATAGAAGAAATAGAACCAAAAGAAATTGAAACAAACATGGAAATTAAAGATGTAAATGCGGAAGTAGAAGAAATAAGAAGTGGAAGTAAAGAAAACAAAATAAATATGAACACAGAAAATGGAAGAAAATTAATCATTGAAGAATTAAAGGAAATGAGAAAGAAAATGAAAAAAATACAATGAAAGAAAGATGAGAATAGAAAAACAAGATAAAGAAAAGACGACATGTAGAAATGGAAAGAAGAAATGTAAAGCGATTGTGAAAGATTTATGTAAACATAAAAATAAAAGTGTAAAATAACTGGAGAGCCAGAAGAAAATTAGTAAATAAAAATACAAGTAAAAGTAGAATAACATTAACACAAATGCAAAATGAGCGCGAAAGGAAAATAATTAGAGTAAATGGGGATGAATGAGGGAAAATAATTAAAAATCAGGGGTTGACTGAAAAGGAAAGATGAGAACAAAAATGAAAGAAAAGAGACTTAATATTAAAAAAGTAGTGGTTATGTGTGAATATTAATTTTTGGGAGATTTATATGGAAAGTTCACGTCACAAAAAAGTATCAAAATTTGTCAAAATTGAACGATGCTGGGTAGTGAAATTTTTAAATATCAAAATTTTAAGTAGAAAATCAGGATGTCGGGGGTTGTTGAAAAAGTAAAAAAACTGTGGTTATTGTTTGAGTTGTAATTGGAATTTGGAATATTGATATAGAGAAAAATATAAAAAAGGTAACAAAACAAATTTTTATTGCAAAAATTGGAAAGCAGAGAGCAGTGAGATGAGCCGGAGCAGAGTTGTAACAGAGGGCGAGGAGAGGAGAGAAGGAGACAAGGAGTAAGCGGAGGAGTGATCAGAGAAGAGAGAAGAAATTGAACATTTATGTATATATTTTTAAATAAAATTTGGTATTTGTTTTTTATGTAAATTTTTAGTACCAAACCCCCCTTTTAAGTCTCTTGAATTCTGGGGAAAAACGATTTGGGAATAATTAAACTGATATTTCCAAACCAATATATAGCATCCATTTGATGGCCGCTTAAACTGATGAAATTAAGTAATCTTGAGCGAACTTTACTAAAACCCATGCTAGTGAAAATAATGATCATTTTTATACATGGAAAATACTTTATCAGTCAGAATAGGTACTAAGTTGGATAGGGTTGTAACAGAATAGCTTTTTGACGTATCTAGTACGACCTATACCTGTTCCAAGTAGATACCTATTCCAAATACCTATTCCCGTTACAAACTATTCCATCTCTAAATTTTATGACTGAATATTGTTGGCGCCTGGCTCATTTTCAGTAGGGAGTAGGGGAATCCTTGAATCTGGCGAATCCCATAAGTATAATACATATTATCGATCGATATTGTATTGAACTTGCTGCTGTTTACATAATAACATTAATTAAATTATTGTTCATTATGAATAGACATTTTTTTGGTGGCAGATGACAAAAAACAAATTGCAAAATGTAATGTGCAAAACAGTAATTTCTTATAAAACCACAGTGTCTAATTTGTAAAAAAACACCTTCTAAGAGAGCACCCTACAGTACAATTACTCTGAATAATTTTTAAAATTTTACTAGTTCGTAAATATTCTCCTGTCTTATAAACATAATATAATCCCTAAAAAAAATACTTACAAGCAAGAGAGTTGAAACATCAAACGAAAAACGAAACCTAATACCAAAATACTAAATAGGTACACGAACGTATTACAAGTTGCCTGACTAATCCCATATTCCGTTTCAGTTACGAACATCAGTCACAACGTGCAATAGCGTCCAGTGACACAAGTAATAGGATTGTGTGAAATTTGGTAACAAGTACGCGGAATAGGCAGAATATACCTATTCCAAAGTAACAGGTCCAGTTCCATTGTAACAGCCCTAAAGTTGGAGCATTTACAGACTGGGAATTATACCGCTATAGAAGGAATTTTTGGAAAATTAGACTGCAAAGAGATAAATGGGATTATGTATTACAAAGGCATTGACATAAGTGGGATGGCTATAGATACTTAGGTTTTGAAATTAGAATTTAATTATTTATGATGACTTTGTTAGACATAACATTTGAGCTCCTATCAAATCCCCTATATTTCTCAGACTTGACAAAGTCAGAGTTTCACTCTCAAATTTGATCCATACGCTTAAATTTGCATAAACATCTAAAAAAAGATTTAATCTAAAAATAATATTAACTTACTTGCCGCAAATTCTTCCTTTACAATTTTTATAATCATCAGCGACGTGCTAGCTCGTTCCTGAACTTCCAGCTCACCGGATTTGATGCTCTCGTTCAATTTGTCGCATACCAAGTCGCATATTCTAAGAGCGTCATCGTTCTGATCATTCATTTCATATTTGCGAATGATAAACGTAAATATTTTGAGGATATTTTGAATGAAAACGGATTCGATATGTTGCGGCAACATCTTGTATTTTATCATCGCTTTGATAGTTTGTTCTGGATATTTCAACTCTCTAAAATACAACAATATATATTTTGTGATTTAAAGATAACAAGAAACTGATTATAACGTTGGGGAATATGATTTAAGTTAGTAAAATCTGCAACTTACCCTACAAATTCCCCGCAAAGCCACGCGGCTGCATAGAGAACTTCTTGCATGATGGTAAACTGGGAGGTAGAAGTGTATATGTCTAATATTTGAGCCATCTCTGCTACTGTAAAGCATCTGATGGCTTGGACCCGAATACAAACGTCCATCAATTGTGCACCAATGATGTGACCTAAATAAAATAATAATGTATATACAATATAGGTAACTCATTTATCTTACACCAATTAATTATTTTCCAACTCAATTTTGAATTGTATCAATTTTCGCAAAACAATTTTAAAATATCGTCAAAAAGAATACTTAAAACAATATCATTATTAGAGAGGATCAAAAGAAGTAGCCCCAGAACTGAACCTTGTGGCATATCTGATATTAATGAATATCTTTGACCCTGTTAAAGTGACACTGAATAATTTTTGGACGTTCCAATAAATACGAGCCAAAAGGTTTTTAATAAAGGATGAAGAGGGGTGGGTGGCTCAGTGGTAGGGTATCTGCCTGTGGATCCAAGGGTCCCAGATTTGAATCCCACCGTTGGCCGGGATTTTTTATTTAATTTAATTATTTAAAATTAATTCTGATGCCTTGGTAGGATTCCCCACTCGACCATTCACTGTTGGGTACTAATTAACAGTGCTGTTCCTAAAGTGGCACTGGGAAACAGTAACAAAGCCTACACAGAACACAAGGCTCATAACCCTAGTTGATGCCGATGACACAAAAAATAAAAATTTGTTAGGTTATATTTTTATTACAACAGATTGTATATATTTAAATACTTATTATTGTAGAAATGACGAATTCTCTCAATTTTAATATCAATACAGTACTTACACATAATTTTTTACTGCATTTATCAATTTCAGACCTTTGTTAACTTTCCATGAAACACCAAGTGTGCTCTCTGGAAATTTATAAAATTTCACTATGGAATCAAATCCACGATTCCGACGTGATGTATTCGTACATCCACGGATGCAACAAGTTTTTTTCGATAAGGACATCACCAATATAATTTAAATTTATTTAATTAATATTTACCAGAGACAAATAACATGAAACTGTAATAAATCCCCCATAAAGTTCACATTTTTGTCACCAGTTGGCGTTAAAGTCATGGCGCACGGTCCCTATAGAAAGTTTGTGAAAGTTTAACTACAAAAAACTTAAATTTGAATTTTGTATTTGACATTAAACATGGCTGAACTATTTGGAGGCAAGTTTAAATCTTTTAAACATAAGGCTTTTATTTAGTTAGATTTAAGTTTGAAAATTATAATTAAATTTGAGCTGATGGGTTTTGAATATTTTTTATATTAAACAATTTATCCACTTTTTGATAGCGATATTTTAAGAGATTAGCAGAGCTCCAATTTGGGGTACATATATTTAATTTCCTTGAACCTTTTACCTCTTTTTGCAATTAAATATTTTTGCCCATACGTGCCGTGCTAAGCACATACCAAATTTTAATCGCTGTGGCCAGGTACACGCTAACGTGTACGTAAATCAAAAATTAGTAATAATTAAACGTGAATAATACATTTATTTAGTTCCCAGTATTATACAACATTCGTATCAAATTGTCTTTGTTTACAAGAAACCATTTAAGTTGTGCACAAAATTAGAACAAATAATTTGCAAATTCCATGTTACTTTAACTCATTTTCAAATCAAAATTGTCACATTTCGCCTAGTTAATTTCTATAGTAATGCCAATTTGACAAATTTGCTTATTGCATTAATTTATAAAAAAAAAATTAATAATAATTCTGCCTCATTTGGGATTTTTGATATGTGCAATCTTTTAGGTTATTTTTTTTGTAGTAAGTAGCACGATAAAACAAAATAGGAGGAGAAATGGATTCACAACTAGAAAATATGGTCACTTGTAAGAAGAGCCTACATTTTTTAACTCGCCCTGTATATAAATACAAAAACAGCATTGTCAGATTGAGTTTTCTAAATAAACACCGTATTAGTATTTTTTTCCCTCTAAATAACCCATCAGTATTTTTTAAATATTTTGAGGCGAATCTGGCCCACAGTGCGCCGTATCGATACTTAGAAGTTACGTATCGCTCTTTGTGTGAGTGTGGTCAGGGTCACCTAGGATAATATAAGGTTTGTTCAAACATGCGCGAAAACCGTAATATTACGGTACAAATCATGCGCTCTACGCAAAATTTGCATACAACTCATGATTTGTAGTGTAATATTATGGTTTTCGCGTGTGGTGGAACTTGGAACACACCTTAATATGATTAAGCGCTCCCACTGTTTTTTTAATCTAAGTAGGGCCGATTCCACCGTTGTATTAAACGAAGTTTAAATTACTAAACGAAGACTAAAATGACATTGTTAATATAAAAATGTATAGCTTTAATCTTTGCTTAGTAATTTAAACTTCATTTAACACAACGCCAACGGTGGAATCGGCCCAGGGGTAAATTGCCAGTCATTGACACTATAACTTATACCAGTACCACGTACAGTACCAGTAGAGAAAGGGTGTCATTAACAACTGTTAACTACAAAATATACTTTACTGATGCAACTATTGTTTTTTGTTCCCCACTTTGCCTTGTTGAATTGGGGTTGTCGGTTGTCGGCCGTTTAACAAAAAATTGTTTTACTCGATCGATACTTTGTTACTCGATACTTATAAATATCGATATATATTTAACATAATATCGAACGGTATCGATGCCTCTACCACAAAGTATCTCACATGATACCGGTATCGATACCTTCGACCGATACTCATAACCCTACTGCCGAGGAGTGCCAGGGGTGGACTATGTTCTGTGTTCTAATTCAAATATAAATCTGCTGAATATTTATTCAACAGTCAATAAAATAAAAATGTTACCTAAGATAATTTAAGAATAGTTATATTTTATTATTTTACCTTGTTTGGATCCAAATTCCATTTGTGCCAATTCCACTAACACGGTAATGTACCACTCGAAATTAGTGATAAACTGGTAATTATTTTGGGAACATATTAAAATTATTTTACTAAGTAACTCATCTCGATATACAGTTCCTTCAGCTTTGTCCATGTGAACCATTAATTTTTTGACTATTTCCATAAGATTCTTCTTGGAAACCTACAAAAATATATTTAGTGATTACTAATCTTAGGATGAATTGAAGAAAATAGAAGGTAACGTTTAAAGATTCAAAATACTCACCATGCCATACAACAAATCCAGAGCTCTCAGTCGTATGGATTCATCTTTATCTTCTAGACATTGTAGAATCAAATCTTTGTGAGCCTGCACACTTTTGGGATGGGTTTTCAGTATTTTGGACATTGCCAGTAATCCTAAATATTTTACTAAAAAGAAAATTAATTAAATAAATATTACTTTTAAGTACAAATGTTTTTAATTTTTTTTAATTAGTAATAAATACTAACAATTCTGATCGGAATCCTCGATCAATATCCTCAATTTTTGGACGCAAAGTTGTATACTGGCTGCATGGTTGGGCATCCCCGATGATATGCTGATAAGGACAGCTATAACAGTATTTATGCATTCGTAGAGTAGGCTCATTGCTGACGTACTAAAAATATAACGAAATTTACATTAAACTGATGGAACAAATCGATTACCAAGAGTGAATAGTGAAGATTTCGCACTATGCGTGAGATAAAAATAAAAAAATGATGAGCAGCCGAATGAAAACAAAACATGCTGTGTGCGAAAAAGCCACTGTTCATTCCGGGTATACACAAGTTTCTTTTTTGTTTCTACAACCACAGATAAAGTAAAAAATTGTTATAGAAGCTTGAAATTTTAAATATTTATTTGTGATTCCCAGAATACTTAGAAATGGTTTTGTTGGCATTATCTAATCATATTTAGTTTTTTTATACAGGGTGAATCTTAAGTTGACACTTTCTTTAAACTGTCTACAGAAGTCTTTAAAATAAATACATTTTGTCAAAAAACTCAAAAATAAGATACAGAATTTAAAAATATAAATTCAGGTCTTGACTTGAGTATTAAGAGTTAAGCCAAATGAGAAATCTGCTTGTTTTTTCGTTTTTTTTTTTATGAATCATGCTTCATTGTGTAACATTATTGTAATTCAGTCGCGTGTGATTTCAGTAGTGTGTTAATCTAAAGTAGTAAATTTAAATTGTTCAGTATGGTAAATTATGACAACAATGAACTTATGGATATGTTGCTAATTCATGGAGAGTGACTTTAAAGTGCAGTTGCCGCATGGGTGTTGTACAGTAAACTCTTTTATTTCATTGATTTTAATGACTTCTATACACAGTTAAAAAAAGTATCTACTTAGTTGTCTAGGTTGAGAACATGTATGTGGGTCGAGTGTCAAAGTCACAAAAACGTATTAAAGGCTAAAGAGTCGATGCCGAAAATTCCTAGAATAAGCCGTAAATACCGTATATTTATTATTAAAGTGTCCCGAATCTAATATTTACAACAATCTGGTATATATTTAGCTGGTAGAATTCAGTTTATAAATATATACAATGGACTCATCCAGTAGGAACAAATTTCCTGGTTTTCTATTAATGAGTAGTTGGCTCAAGGTACCTAGTTGCTTATGGTGATTTTCATTGTTCTTAAAATATTCATTAGTTAATGAAAATCAGCAATAACTATTACAAGATCCCGACTTAAATCGACCTTCCTTCATTTTATACAATAAAATGTATAAAAAAACACCACGTGCCAGGGTTGATGCCCCATAACCAGTCCAGGGTATTTTTAATTAAAAAATTATTTGGTCAAACTTTTATCGATAGTTACAGTAATGCTTCTTTTTCTCGAAAAAAATTAATACCAATCGACAGTAAAATATGCAAATAAAACGTCAAAGTAGAATTGGCTACCTTTTTCTTCATTATTTTTCTTAACAGTTTATATATAAAAATGTAGATCAATTTATTACGAACCGGTGGTGGTATAGGGTTGGCGCCACGAAAGTTGATCGATCTTAAGCTAGGGTTCGTTAGAACAGTGCGCGAGGCAGACAGGAATGTACGTCGACTGATTACGTCGAAATCAATTTGAGTTTGATTTGGACGCATTAATTCAGCTGAGTATACAGCTGACGGTCAAGTGAAATGAGGTTAGGATAATTTGTGTTATAATTAAAGTAATAAAATGTCGAAATTTTCTTCTGAAGAGGATGAAATGTTAATTGATATGATAAAGGAGCATTTCGAACTATATCAATTGAAAAGCAGAAGTTGCAAAGACAATATAGTTGAAAATAATGCTTTGTTTTGGTCATTACTACTTAAAAACCAACAATTCTTCTTCGCTTTTTTCTTCCATTAAAATAATCGCTGCTAACGCGTTATTTAATTCATGGGAACTCATTTTCACCTGTAGGTAACAACAGAACAAGTTGAACTGATTTATATTTTAAGAAACCAACTCTACACTGAAGTGAGTCGAAGGTGACAGATTATGACGTACGCGTACGTAGAGCGTCACGCACTGTCCTAACAAACCGTAGTTTTAGTGTTAGCGCGATTTTAAGTTTGCATAATTATTGAGTAAGAGAGAGGGGCGAGACAGAGAAGTACTGCCCGTACTGTTATATGCGATAGAGAAAGATGCATAATAGCAACTACGCATGAGGCAGTTACCGAGTAAAAGATAGTGCGCATGCTTATTTCGGCGTGTAATAGAAAAAGACAAATCTATTACACACTCACCTTTTCAGCATATACATATATTATGTGCTACAGTGTTTCTAACTTTTATTTTGTTCTAAGTTATTAATAAAAAATTAAAAAGTGTTTTTATGTGCCGAAGATGATTCTAAAATACTTGATTTTGAAGATGAATTACTTAAGAATTGCCATTTAAAGACATTATTTATTGAAAAAGGACTTTAAGTGTCACGATGGTCTGTTTACCAAAGAGTACTTAAATTATCGTATTACAAAAAAAAAACAACGGCATTAGAATCAAAGACCTATATAGAACAATTAGAATCTTCAAAGGGATATAATTAAAGATGGACAAATTGTTTAAAAAAAGTATATGAATTACAACGAATAGTTTAATAAAATCAGTAGCTTTGATGCACATGCTAGTGGAGAAAACCATTTCTAAATAATGTATATGAATGCATGATCATTAAAAAATAAATTTGATAAAACAGCCGCCGTAGTAAAAGAGTTAGATCAGAATATAGGAGCCATTGTTATCACTAAAACATGGGTTCGGGATGGGAAGGAGAAATTTTATAATCTGCCGACCTTCAATGTGGTATATATACTCCTACTACCAGAGCAAAAAGGTGGTGTTTATAGGATATTTTGTGAACAAAAACATGGCTTAAAACTGTCAAGAAGGTTACGATTGAGATCATATATCCTCATACAGTATGACCAGAAATATACAGTACTGAAGCGAAAATATTGCTCCTATAAATATTAACAGATTTACCAAAAATTACAAAAGTTAGTGTCTATTATAATAGCTAATGATATGCTCTATATGCCCACCATTCTGTTGGACGCATAGCTCAAGACGGTCTTGGAGGTTTCGTCCATTATCATGGGCGTCGTTACACAATTCTATAGGGGGCAAAATTAAAAAAAAAATAGAATGTTTACTTGTTGGAAAACAAAGAAGGTGTGATATAAAAAAAATAGGAACAAGAAGACAGTCATACACAATAATAAAAAAATAAAATATTTATAGAAACACGAAAACATAAAAAACTCACTCAAACACGTCGACGAACACAAAGACTTTAGGAAAACGCAAATTTGAAAATTCTTTCTCTACCAAAAATATCGATAAGAGAAGACATAAGTAATTTCTTTTGTGTTTTCTAACACTCATTATGTATAGCCCAGTCGGCTCAGTCGCCTATTTTCATTAATTGTAGACCGAAGCCATGTTCAGCTACATCATTAACGTACTGCTCATTGTGTGAAGGAAGCTCTTTCGTAGTCCAGTTAGTTATCCACGTTTGGTATTCAGCTTCAAAATTGTCGATTACAAATTTGTCCACTATTTTTATTTTCTGGTCGCAAGTAAAAAGAAAAGTATTATTTTTGTGGTTTTTGGGACGCAACAGGCTTATAGTACCTACCTGACAAAAAATCAGTAATTCATATATTACACGTTGTTGATTAAGTCGTAAAAGCCAGGGAGGGGCAACTGCCCCCCTTGCCCCCTCCAAACGACGCCCATGTCCACTATTTCTGCCAAACTCGTATGAGCGATTATAAGCCTTACACATAAAAACAATTTCTTCGGTTGTAAACATCTTGTTCACAGTGTTGTATACCCTGGCAGATAACAAGTTAGTGTTTGTTTAAAATAAGTTTGACAGCAGTATCACTTCCATAGCAACTCTGATTAGAGTTACAATTTCGGCACGGTATATTTACGGTCATCTTGTATTGTATTGAGGAAGAAAAAAGTATCTGGGAGCGACCTATAATCCGGATAATTCAGTTTCAAATAAAAAATCTCATTGAAGAAGAAATTAAATAAATGAAGTAGAATTTTTGGTGACTTCAAAATATATTACAAACATATATAGATATATAGAAAGAGGTGCGTCTTTTAATGGATAACTAGAGCATCAAAAACCCTAATGTTATAAACTGTCATTAAATGCGCGTCTATTTATAATAAGACACCAGGGTATGTTAGGCTGCTTAATTCGTCTAGATTTAAGCCTTTTATAAAACAATCTAAAAACCGTTAAAATTGTTCGCCCAAATATGAAGAAATATGCTCATCTATACAGATAGCAGACAAGCACTACTCACCCTGAACAGATCACGAATTTACTAAGGGTTAGTACTAGAATGTCACGAAGCTTTGGCCGAAGTATCCATCAACAATGTGGTCACCCTAAGATGGATCAAAGGCTACGCCACATCGAAAGGTAACCGTCTTGCTGATTCACTAGCCAAGAAAGCAGCCAACCAAATACTTTTTGGACCTGGCCCTTCTATTGGCCTAACAAAATCGGTAGTGATAGACCTAATCAAAGAACATTCCCTTGTAAAATTCAAGGAAAGATGGGATGAAAGAAGAAACTGCAGAGTTGCCAGGGAGCTTTTAAGTTATCCTGACAACACTGCAGCAAACAAATACTTGACTATGGCTAGACAGAATCTGCGCCTAGTCACAGGCATTCTGATTGGTCATTGCCAAGTACGAAAGCATCTCCATATCATGGGGCTGTCAGAATCCGCACTCTGCAGGGTGCGAACAAGATTATGAGACCATCGAGCATATTTTTTACGATTGCTCGACGCTCTCATTTATTAGAACATTTGTGTTCGGCTAACACCGGCCGATATAAGTGGAGCACCTCTTGGCGACGTTGTCAACTACATTAAATCTGTAAGCTGGCTCATGAGTTAGGAGGTGCCTATTATCTCAGGAGGATACACAATGGGCCTAATGAGGCCTAAGTGCCGTGGGGGTAACCCACCCTCCACACGTTACATATACAGATGAATTAAGAAAGAAAACTATTTCATGATTAAATTCATTCTAAGACCTTGCTGTGATTAATTCCTTCTGTATGGTCTAAATACTAATAAGCAATAACGAGGCCTCCAGATAATAATTGTTTGTTTTTTTCTGCCGACTCATATTTTTTCCAGACGATACTGTCCAGTAGTTTGTTGAAGAAATAAAATGTTTCTGTAAAACGAGGCTGGATTCAAAATCTTATATTCATCTTAACAATTGGAAAATCAGTGAGCATGTCCTGATAGCTCAGTTGGTAAGAGCGATGCGCGTAGAACACAGATAGGTGGGTACAAATCTTCCGTGGTAATCTTTTTTTTATTTTTCATTAAATTTGTTTTCACCTTTGCGGTGCAAACATTATTTTCATTAATTCGTAGGGGTAATATTGGGATTTGTTTAGAAATTTTGTATTTAAACATTTTTTTTTTTAATTTCGCAATGAAATATTTTTTTAACAGCATATATTAATGGTTTTCTAAACATTTTTTAGTACGTGCTGTCTTCTCTGTCGCGCCCTCCTCTCCTGCTCAATGATCGAAAATCACGTCAACCCTAATGTGTTCGTAATAATAGTATATTCTGTAACAAAGTTGGAATGAAAATTAGATTCTGAATGCGAGCATAAGCGTGCGTGAAGAACCACGAGTATCGGATTTTCAGAGCAACAGACTGTACTTTCTCCACGGTCACAGACACAGTAGGAGTAAATGAACAAAATGAAATATTTAATCTAACTTATGTTAAGCAAGTTTTTATTTAAATCATTTGCATAATTTGTCAGTTTAGGAGGAATATTATCAAATTCAATATAATAATCATTAAATTCACCAATTTTTGAATTTAAATTCGACTTAACAAATGTCGATGTCAGGCAAATTTAAACTAAATACTAATAAGTTGCGTAGAAGTGTCAGTTATGAAATTCATGACTATCTACGATACAGGCGTGGTATTCACAGCAATTGGCCAGTAGTTATTACATAATAAAGAATGATGAGTTAAAATGAAATACGTTTAAAATACATAAGAGGCAAGTGTTTCAGAATTTTCCTTCAATCTCAAGAGCGAGAATGTTTTCTATCTGTTATTATAAATGGTTTCGGAGAACTACATTCAGTAGTGGCTGTGGAGAAAATTATTTACATTTTTATATTAAGAAAAATGATGAGGGTAAATTACTTATTAGCTTACCTAATTTGGCATTTTATTTACACAATATTTTACTCTAGATTGGTATTAAATTTTTGATAAAAAGCATTATCGTAACTATCGATAAAAATGTAATTAAACAATTTTTAATTATTAATAGTCTGGACTGAATATGGTGCGCCAACACTGGCACGTTGTTTATTCATACATTATATTGTAAAAAAAAAATAATTAGGAACAATGATGAGGGAAGATCGATTTAAGTTTCGATCATGTACTATAAGTATAATATTGTTGACTCTATTTACTTTTATTTACTTTTCAATATGTCAACAATTCAAAGTCAAGTCTCTGTTTCCATTGGAACAGGTCACAATCCACTTTTGCTCCGAATTTCATATTTTAAGAAATGCAGCCACAGTGTCGGCTAAAGAACCATTGGATCCGGTTGAATGTGTTATGATAGGCCGAAATTAAAAAATCAAAATATTTAAAAAATTACTGGCCGAGTCCATTATTATTTTCGTCAAGACCCAGCTCTGTAACAACTGGTGTGCCCAAGGGATCGAATCTAGAACCGCCGCTTCTTGTGATTTATTAATTAGGTTTAAGAGTTTTGTTGAATTGGAACCTTGTAAACAAATGCATGCAAGATATAGTTGACATTTTTCTTTATTAATATTATTTACAGATTCTTTGATGTTCCCATTGAATTGTATGTTTTAAAGTGTTATAAATGAAATGTCATTTGTAGGAAAGCAAGACATGCGCCATTTCACTTTATCCGTCTAAAACGGTATGATTGTGGTTGTAGAAAAAAAAAACAACTACTGTTCATTAGCCAGCTCTTACCTGTGTATAAGATTGGTAAGGGGTTCAATTAATTTTTTGCCTAGCCTAGGTTCTAAAGGAGTAAGGGCACCAAACTAAAAACAAAAACAAAAAGTCACTAAATGTAGCTGCGAAATTTTAAAGCTTTAGCGATATTCACATTTTTTTTATGAGTCATCAAATTTATGATGTTTTTAAATTACATATTTTTTAGAACGCTCTGAAAATTTTAAACAAAAAATATTTCTTGTGTAAAAAACTTAAAAATTTCTTATTTTAAGCAATGACTGCATAAGCTTTATTCTAAAAAAAGTAACACATTTTAAAACACTTTAGTGTTTAGCAAAGATAAAAAAATAGTTTTGACGTTTTTCTGATGAAATACATATTTATTTGAACTACTAAGGATTTTTCTAAATCTAAAAACTTATTTAATGAATATAGAGTACATCAATAATTCCAGTTAATAGTGGTATTATACAGGGTGTTTCATAATATATGCGCAGGACTTCAGGACGTGATAGCTCGTCCAAAAATATGAAAAAACGTTTCTATTAACTTACCCTCTAAAATGCACCATTTTCGAGATATGAAATGGTTCAACATTAAAATTTGATTTTTCTCGAAAACGGTTGACTTTAGAGCGTAGGACCAAGAGTACCTTTTTTGTGTAGAAAGCATTGGCGGTTCAAATGGGCGTCTCAAAACCGTACTTTTTCCAGTGGCGTAGAATTTTTTTTTTTCAATTTCAACACCCTGTATCTCGAAAATGGTGCATTTTAGAGGGTGAGCTAATAGAAACGTTTTTTCATATTTTTGGACGAGCTATCACGTCCTGAAGTCCTGCGCATATATTATTAAACACCCTGTATAGTGAAATAAATTATTATAGAATAAATAAAAAGAAAAATACATTGTTGTTACATAAAAATACGTATGAATAGGAGGATGATAGCACGTAAAAATAATTGAAGCCTCTATCAAAGCTGGTGCCAATAAATAATAAAATACTACATGTTATTTCAAAATATTAAAAGATACCTTGCGATAATATTTAACAATGGTTGGCTCAATTTTAAACCAACGGCCGGTTGTACTTCAGTAAAGGAGGAAAACTGGTATACAGAAAGAAACAAAATTCAATTTAGAATAAAAATGTTATGAGCTACCTACTAAAAATTGCTATTAAGGTGCATATATAAATTTTTTTCTCATAATATTAATGCAAGGATTCAATTAAAATCAATGTTAGCCCCTAGAATGTCCTTTTGAATTACTCATTTACCGTAATCTTAGAATATAGTTCCTAAAAATTATTATTTGTATATACAAAAAATTGATTAAAAAGCGTTTGCATAGACTTTTCGAACAGAACTCGTATAAGCAAGATATTGCAGGGCCGGTACAATTATTAATAAATCAAAAGCACTTTGAAATACCTACATATCTAAAGGCCACTGCGAAATTTATTTACACTGTACCCTGTAGGTAGCTATAAAAAAAACATTAAGTACATTCTATTTATTTCCAATTAAATCGGAGAACGCAGTATCTAGAAATAATTCTGTACTTTTAATTTGATGCTAATAGTACATGATTATATTAATAAAAGAAAATATTGTACCTTAGACAGGTTTGCTGTAGAAATTTAATTTTAATGTGAAATAACTTCTTAGAAGACCAATATAAACATAACAACTGACCCTACATAATACTTGCAATTATTTATTATTACCTACATCTTTCTAATGTCAAGGTGCTACATATTTATAGTAAAAATAGAATAACAAAAGTGCTATAAAACAACTTAAAAGAGTCCAGAAAATATTACAAGTAGTACCAAAAACCTAAGCAACTTTGACATTTTCTATTTCAAATTCTGTTTGTTAGATATCTTTTTTAGACAAACAAGAAATTTGAGAATGATTATTACAATGAAAAAGCAAAAACAGCCCTTAGATCATTGGCGGCTTGTCTGTAAGGGCTGTAGGGCTACATCCCTCCCAGTACAAGGGGAAACCAATTTATTGATATGGAAACCACCACTCAGGGTATTTATGGTTACCAATCAATATAAATTTCAAATCAAGCGGGTTCACGGATCTAAAATATTACAATAATTTAAATATATTTAAACAAACAACTTCTTGTCTTCTTGATCTGCTTGTGCGCCTATGCCTCTATGCTATCTGCATCTCTGCTCTACCTCTATATCTGTTTCTGCCACTAACTATTGATTGTTTATATTTATCAACTCTCGCCTCGGCTCTGCTCTGCTACCTTACTATTCTCGTTCTCTGTACTCTTAATATTTTAAATTTTCAAATTTAATTTAATCAATTAAATATTAATTCTAACGCAATGTAAGATTCCCCATTCACTGCTGGGTTCTAATTAACAGTGACGTTCCTAAAGTAGCTATGAGAAACAGTAACAAAGCCTACATAGAACACGAGGCTAATAACCTAAGTAGTTCATGCCGATGACACAAAAAATTTGTCTTAATTATTTTTATTTATTTCCTCTTTCCAATATTATAATAATAATGTACCAAAATCAATGTATTAATTTATTTCCAATTTTCTATATCTCTCTGAAAACCCTTTCTTGACATTTTCTAAAATTCCCTTTTGACAATCAATAATTATCTATTAAACTAAAAAAATTAATAAACTAAACATCCCTCCCAACCATGATACAAAAAATTAGTATCATGTCTGCCAACTACTATAATTTGCATACCCCACCCCGATATGTATACTTTTAACATAATCATGACGAATTTATTTTCCGGGCAAAAATGTCTATCATTATATAAATATAAAATGAAAATGTATTACGTTAGCTACGCATACTATTTTTCAAACGGCTTTTTATTTCGGTTATTCTAATCTAATCTGGCGGTCCCTGATGTTCAATATATTTTCCGTTACTCGTGACCTATTCAATGATGTTGCTTAATAACCACGTTGGACGCCAAACTGTAACCTGCTAAAAACGAGGCGCCAAACTGTAACATAAAATTCGCTTCAGCTGAATAATCCAATTGTTCTTAAAAGTGCGCCAGTATAATTTGTCACCAAATCACCTTATCACAGGATAACAGGTCAAATATATACCACTAGGCAAAATATGCTTAAATAAAACTAAACAGTTTAGTTGGCTCTTTCTTTAATTCATATGATTATGAATATATATTATTATCAACCTGACAATTATTATTTCCCAAAAATAAGTACTATCGTTATTCACAGATAACTAGTAAATAAATACTTGAATTATGACACCCAAAACACTTAATACTAAAATAATTCCTAACCTATAACCACATGTGAGCTCATGACATGTTAGATCACCTATATTTACAAATATACCCAAGTATACGGTGGTATATACTAAATCTAACACGTTTAACAGGACCAAATCTCCAAATAAATAGTTAACAACCTTGGCTCGTTACTCTGATTATTTTTGAGTAGATTTTAGCTGAAGGATGTTTAAAATGTATCACATAAATAGGTCACTGTTCACGGATGGGCTCACTAAACTCTACTGATGGCCCAATTTCAACCCTACTCATCAGCTGATGGGGTGTGTACTACTTCGCACTCAATAAGCCAAATGTAAGGTGAGTCTGCACTGAAGGTACAGTGGCAAAGGGGCAAATACTGCTCTATAACTACCTTAGTAGCCCAGATTACAACAGCTACCATCAAGAGCTCCACTCACAAAATGGGAAGTAAGGAAAAACCAAGGCAAAAGAATGAAAGCAGAAAGGCCCAACTAATATCTATTGAAAACCACTTGAATATCACAGGGACTTTAGCTCGATTACGAACAGGTGTTGAAGTGAAAAAAAATCCCTTTACAGATACAACTTTAATGTTACCAAAAATACATGGCTCAGAGGCCCGATCAACATTTATCCAACTTATTATAATAATTTACTGTACAATCCCTTTACGGCTGGTAAAGATTACCCTATTTACACCAAATCCAAATTCTTTCAGCCCAAATCGGCCTTCATCGTACGTGTCGTTTTTTAAACTCCAAGAGTTTTTGACAACCCCTGTTGACAGCTTCAATCGAAAAGGTCAACACCTCGAACCCATATTAAGGCTGTCTTCAAACAAAGCTCGACAAATACAAAAATAGGTTACGTGAGGACCGCAACACAAAATACGCCTAACTGTATACCATATTGTTCAACGGTAATATGAACCGTTACATCTGATTGCAGACAAGGGCTAAAAGTTGTATAGACCTCAATTTAGATGTTCAGGCAGTCAGTTTGGACGACGTCGGTCGCGCTTTTAGGTCGCAATAAGGACTTTTTACACGAAATATAGCTCTAAAAATTTCCTCCAGTCTAGGCAGTGAGTATTATCTTAGCCATCATTGCCAATTTCCAATCTCGTGGCTGAGAAATTCCATATTAAATATTTGGGAAGGCCTACTCCCGATTTAAAACTTACTAAGGCAGATAAAAGACCATTTTCAAGGAATAGGTATAATAAAAACAAGTATATATGTGGATAAGATACTCTGGACTCATTGTAGTGTTATTTTTTTATTTACGTACCTAATATAAAAAGTGCTGTTTTGTAGGGTACCTAGACTGCATTGATTAGTTACTAAAACAATAACAAACAAAAAATATAACAAAATATAATAAACCTACATCTGTACTGAGATCTATATTCTGTCACTGTGAACCCTCAATATTTTGGTCAAGAGAGGCCACTGCACATGGGTAAAATATTTATTCAGAAATTGAGAATATTAGGAAATTCTTATAAAGTAGAAGAAAATGAAAAATATTTGTCACTTATTTTTAACATACCTACCTATTTAATCATTTATTCATCATATTATTATATTAAGATTTTATTAGGTACCGACGTTGAGAATATTATATAGATTCATACACTAATGCATTTTATTTTGCGTTATTTTTTGTTTTTAAATTTTATGAGAAATTTTATTCTGTTTTGAGAACTATATATTTTATTTCCTTAAATATATATTATTCCTTTAAAAAAATAGCGTCCCGATTTTTTAATAGCTTTTTGATTAGTGTACCCGATTTTTAGAT